ACTTGTGCAGTACGTTCTTGACCGAAAGTGAGAGATTGCACAAAGAAGGTGAAAGAAACTAAAGAGTGCGCGTTTGCCGTGCTGTGCATTATCAGCTTTCTGCATGAACCGTCTTGAGTTGCAGCATTTGGCATCCAGTGAAACTGTGTAGGTTGCCCAACATGAAGCGCAAGGCCCGTGAAGCCAATCTGCCTTGGAGTACGAGCCGTGACTACATTTTTCGGATGTGGGTTCGTGTATGCAGTCGGGCAACCGGGCACGAGACTATTACTCTCCACATCCAGCTATCAATCAACGATTCCATCAACGTTGCCAAATACCTCGTCGCGATGCAGCTCTGGGAGAAGTTCGGCTGGTGGCCTAGGTTACACACCTTCCAGCTTGTACAAAATTTTCGCCACCTTCGATTTACGGAACCTGTAACGACTGCTCAAACCCTTGAACCAGTCGATTTCGTTGTGACGGTATAAAAAGAGACCACCTCTGTGTCATGTCAAGAGAAGTGACGAGCAAGGGATGCGCAAGCGGATTGCAAGTGATGTGCAAGGGATGTGCGAGGTTCGTGCAAGTGCAGTGCAAGAAATGTGCAGAGTAACATGTCAGAGATGTGCAAGTGCTGCGGTGTTGTGAGCTGCTTTCATCAGACATGCAACAGAGTTTTGTTTCAAGCACTCTGAAAATTGTGTAGATCCCGAACAACATGAACATCTTGATGTACGTGTTGCCGATCAGAGCTTCATTACTCGCCTCGATCGAAATGACGACCCAGAAGAGGCACAACCCATAACCGACACCATGGTGGCGTACACGTTCCTGCGACGTGGGATACAGGAATTTCGGCTGTCCTCCTCGGTTGAGTTGACCATGGGCTTTCAGTCTTTGCATACCACCATCCGTTTTGTCCAAATCAATGCTGTGGCTTGCACCATGTTGAGCAGCCCGTCAAAAAGGTGGATGAGAGCTGCGGTAGACCTAGTACAGGAGCATTTGCGAGTGAGTATCGTGTCATTGGCCAATGCTGCGTACCAAACTGCAACTCAGTGTTGCATGTACTTCGATGCTGATGCGGAAGAAGCCGAAGTCGAATTGCACTTAGTGCACAGACTGCGTTTCCTGAAGTTTCGTAGCCCATTTTCCTAGGTTTCTTGTGCATAAGACTTTCCCATGAAAATCGGTGAGATAAAACAGCGCGCAACGACTGTCAACATTGCAAGGAGCCCCTCGGGGCTTGTGTGTGTCCAACTCTGTTTCCAAGAGATGTGAGTGAGTTAAGCAGCAGGGGGCGTGGCAGTCGCATCCTAGCCACGCCAACGAAGCTATGGATGTTGACTGGATGGGCTCACAGACGTGTGAACCTGTACCTGCATAAAGCTGCTCATGGGTCACGCATGTGGCAGCTTGAGAGCGTATCTGTGAATGCGACAGTCATGAGTGAGGGCTTGCATTGGTCAGTTTCTTGCTCAGTTCATGTTCAAGAGTTTGTCTGTGAATGCGACAGTCATGAGTGAGGGTCTGCACATGTCAGTCTTACATGAGTGATTCGTGTTTGTCCTACGGTAGTACTTCAGATTGCATGTTCTGACTTTTTCGTGCAGCCTCTGACTTTCCCTGACAGCTGCTGACTTTCCCTGACAGTATGCACCGACAGATCAGACCTGCGACACGATGTGTCAAGTGTGTGTGTGTGTGTGTCTGTGTCTGTGTCTGTGTCTGTGTCTGTGTCTGTGTCTCTGTGTCTGTGTGTCTCTGTGTCTGTGCCTGTGCCTGTGTGTGTGTCTCTGTGTCTGTGTCTCTGTGTCTGTGTCTCTGTGTCTGTGTGTGTGTGTGTCTGCTGTGTGTCTGTGTGTCTGTGTGTCTGTGTGTCTGTGTGTCTGTGTGTCTGTGTGTCTGTGTGTCTGTGTGTGTCTGTGTGTCTGTGTGTCTGTGTGTCTGTGTGTCTGTGTGTCTGTGTGTCTGTGTGTCTGTGTGTCTGTGTGTCTGTGTGTCTGTGTGTCTGTGTGTCTGTGTGTCTGTGTGTCTGTGTGTCTGTGTGTCTGTGTGTCTGTGTGTCTGTGTGTCTGTGTGTCTGTGTGTCTGTGTGTCTGTGTGTCTGTGTGTCTGTGTGTCTGTGTGTCTGTGTGTCTGTGTGTCTGTGTGTCTGTGTGTCTGTGTGTCTGTGTGTGTCTGTGTGTCTGTGTGTCTGTGTGTCTGTGTGTCTGTGTGTCTGTGTGTCTGTGTGTCTGTGTGTGTGTGTCTGTGTGTCTGTGTGTCTGTCTGTGTGTGTGTGTCAAACTATTTTCCAACGAAACTTCCGTTTGCGCGCGTTTGGGAAACCCTTACTGCGCTGCAGAAGAACCCTGTGCAAAGCACTCTCTCTCTCTCTCTCTCTCTCTCCTCTCTCTCTCTCTCTCTCTCTTTTTTCTCCTAGCGGATATGGGGGGTCAGTTCGGGCCCGATCTTCGGGCACTGAAGAAAAGATGCCACTGGCATCCGAACGGAAAAAGTCGACCGCTGGTCGAGGGTAAGGCGAACGACTGGTTCACCCCCCCGCCTTTAGACCCCTACCAGGGACTAACCCGTACAACGGGAGAATAGGTGAAACGTTCGTTGACCTACTGGGTCACTGCAGCTACGAGTTGCTACTCTGTGCTCTGAACGGCCTACGGCCTATGTACAAAGCGCACTCTGTGCTGACGCATCTCTGCTAGAGATAGCATAGGAGCGCTGCTCCTGACAGCTCTGCTGCATCTGCGGTGTCCCCGACCCCGCATACTATACAGGGTGTGGTGGGTGGGACAAAAACTTTTGGATCACAGATCCAACTTCAAGCCGAAAGCTGCACGGCAAAGTTTGTCTAGTGTGAACCACACGCAAGTGAAAACACTGTTTTCCTTTTTCGACAAACTTTGTCTACGAGTCTACACTTTCGGCGGAAAATAAAACCCATTCACGCACGCATGATGGATGCTTATTTTCCAACGAAACTTCCGTTTGCGCGCGTTTGGGAAACCCTGCAGAAGAACCCTGTGCAAAGCACTCTCTCTCTCTTTTTTCTCCTAGCGGATATGGGGGGTCAGTTCGGGCCCGATCTTCGGGCACTGAAGAAAAGATGCCACTGGCATCCGAACGGAAAAAGTCGACCGCTGGTCGAGGGTAAGGCGAACGACTGGTTCACCCCCCTTGAAGGCACTCGAAGCCTTACTCACCCCCCATGCAGTCCGCGCCGAGTGACAAAGCCAACGGCACTGCGTTAGGCGGGAGGTATTGACGCTCTGCGCCAAGCCTCTGAGTCTCTTCCCACCAGTCTCTGCTGGGTCCATCGGCAATGTTGCTGTCCGTAGGGACTCGGAAGAAAGCGGCCCTGCACTGCAGGGACTCCTCAAAATCAACTGCTTGCGAGACTATCGCTGCTCCTTCCACCTTCCGTGTGAAGGCCTTGTGTAAGGAGGTACGCGCTGCGTCATTGTCTATCCAGACAAACAGGTCGCTGCCTGCTATGTGTCTTGCCCACAGCTGAAGGCTAAGCAGATAGGGCAGCAGCTCGCACTCATAGACCAACTGCTGTTTCTGTGCCCTGGCAACCCACTGGGCTGCCACCTGGGCGCTGATCTGCAACCCCCAGGTGAAGGCGACGCCTTCGCCGATGAGCACTGCACCGAGGCCGCACTTAGGCACTAAGCGTGGGGTTTCCCATTCGCAGGCCCCGTCAATGTACAGGTGGACTTTCCTGCGCGCATGGATGGACACTGTCCTGGGCGGTCCGTGCACGACTCGCTGCAACAGGAACGCCATGGCTTGGCACTGCTGCTCGGTAAGAGGGACTTGCTCGGGGCCCTCCCCTGGAACGTCGCCCACGCAGATCACTGCCATGCGGGTGTTTCGGCCCCACGCCTGCTGCTCCGCGAAAATGAGCCTGCCGCGCAAGCTTTGCGCTTCCGGAGGCGACATGGTGCCGCGTGCGAGGGCCTCGCTGAGGACCATCCCCAGCTCTGCTGCTCTGGTCGGCTTGTTGCTGACGGAGACCTCTCCGAGGTGCTGCTTGGACAAGTCCACTCTCACGCCCAACACGTCGAAAACTTCGCTGAAGTCGGCATTCTTCTTGGGCTCTGTGGCCACTTGCCAGCCCAGCTTGTTGAAAAGATTGGACACTGCCAATGTGACGAGCTTCGCGTTTGCGCTCCGCGTGAGAACTGTGAAGTCGTCAAAGAAGCTCGTCATTACTAATGCGAGCTTCTCGCGGCCTATTGCTTTGAGCGCCTCGCTGCAGCGCAGAAAAGCACGCACAGCTGCTACCGCGCCAAAAGGCATGCTATGCAGGTGGGCAATTTTGACCTTCCCACTCTGTGGGTCCACCATTGCGATACACGCAAATTTCTTGCGCGCGGCTTGCACTGCTAGCTGCTTGTAGGCACTCTTCAGGTCCCAGGTCCTGCCCACGATGCGATGCGCCTGCTCTGCAGGCACTCCTTGGCGCAGCCACTCCAGGCATACCGCAAGGAGCTCGTCGATGCTATCGACTTGCACCTTCTCTGTGGTGCCACAGCAGCTGTTTATGAAGCTGCTCTTGAAGTTGTCTATAGGGCGGACCTTGCCCTTTTGCACCACGCCAAAGCGAGACGACACTATCGTCTCGTGCAGGCTGGCTGGCGAAATCTTCGAGAGAGAGCCAGCCCTGCTGGCTCTCCTCCAGCGTGCACTCCCAGACCTTATCGGAGACGCCATCCTGGGATGGGCGCAGCGCGCTGCGCACGCCCCGCATGCCTATGCTGTGGGAGTTCTGCAGAATGGACGTCTCGTCCAACGAAGGGGGCAGAATCTGCACCGGCCACAGCCCGCTGGGCTGTTTTATATTTCACAACAGCCGTCGGCACACCACGACGAAATGGACCAGATATTCGGCAAGCAAAGCTTTCAAATATCATAAAGAAAATCCGAGGATATATATTCCAGAAACAATAATATATAAAGTATGAATTTATGAAATATTCATCCGGTCTCGCGAACGAACTACAGAACTGCACTCGGACCCTTCCTTCTTTTTTGGCTGTGGTGGAAAGAGCACGAGTAAGTAGGGCGCGCAAACGCAATGGGGCCCTGATGTGGAAAAGGTACTCCACAAGCTGCTTACGCACTCCCCCTAGGAGGTCCTTGCAGCCGCTCGGAGGAAAACTCCAATCCGGCATTGAGTAGATCCCACCTCCGTCCTGTGTGCTTCGGGGAAGTTCCTCCTTGGTTTTGTGAGTTCGAAGAAACCTAACCTGTTCAAGAGAAATGGTGTACGGCTTGCTCGAAGTCTCGAACAAAGGAAGAACAGCTTCTGCATAGGCCTGTGCAAGCTGTGCCGGAAACTCCGAAGTGGCCCTTGAAGCGTAAACGCCATCTTCGTCAACAATCCCTGCCACCTGTGCATGCGACTGAGGATCGTGTTGACAATTACATGCAATCTGCTGGAGATCCCGAAAACTGCATGCGAAACACCACTGCTTCAGTACATTCATACCATAGCCACAAGCAGCCACACAGTTGAGGTCCGCGTTGATGTGTTGCAGAAATTCTCGGACTTCCTGCTCCAACCATGCCATGCTGTTCAAGGGGTTTTCCAGACTAACATGCCCTCCAGCGCAGTATGTTGCCAGAAGCAAATTGATTGTACGAACCAGCACTTTTTTACTTTGCTCCAGACGTTGCCGCTCTGATGGACTCAAATCAGGAACTCCAGACATGTGTTCTGGAGTGCGAATCGCCCTGGGGCCACCGTCTGCCCGGAGCTTCAGCCTGGAGTACTCCGTACAAGGTGGAGAGGCGTGTGCCAGATTCACTTGTCCGCTGTAGCATAGCCGCATGAGGCTGTCATAAGTGGAGTCATTCAACAAGTTATGATCTTCATGCAAAAGAATGTCGATCGACAGCACTGAAACACCCTTCGCCAGGAGGGCAGCAGACAGAGGCCGATTTGGCCCAGAACAGATCTCCAGAAAAAGATTTCCGCGAATTGCCTCAAGGTCCGGAGGCATGACTGCCGCCGGTAGCCCCAGCTGTGCCTGGTCAATTTTGGCAGCCCGAGACGCACACGACACCTCGTCGACCACCATGGCGTCGCCTGGAAGCGGAAACATAAGATCACGTAAAGAGCGAAGATCTGGTTCAGGCATTGAACCCCAAGTGCAAGAAGTATAGGCCGTCACGACCCATCTGTCGCCAACCCATGGCTCCGAACAATGAGCAATGCGGCCATCCCAAGAAAAACCACACCTCCTGGTCTGAACTATGCAACCCAACAGCGAGGCATCAGCTGATGTGTCCGGCGGAGGCACTCGCGGAAGGTGAGGAAGTTCGTCTGGCGGCAAAGCCACCCACAAGCCGCCTTTCTCAAAAGCACCGACACTGAATGAATAATTCAAAGATCCCGGAAGGTTCTTATCCACGTGGATATGAGCGAACTCATTGTGACTGACACAAAAACTGGACCATGTGCCGTCTGGAAAAATCTGCCGAAGGAAAATGTTCAGGTACTCAACGAATTCTGCGTTTTCTGCTGTGCCTTTGCAAAGCCCCGCATTGGAGCCCGCTCTCGCCCCAAAATTGAAATATTGTGCTCGAGATCGCGCACCTGCAAGAACTGTATCTCGGTAGAGAGGAGCATCACCCAAACAGTGAGTCTGCAGGATAGCCAAGCAAGCTTCCCAAGAAAAATCCGATGAAGTCGGCGACGGAATTTCGCTGGATCGACCAGTCCGCACATCGGAGTGTTCCGCCACCGACTGTGACCTTCAGATTTTGCGGTGTTGGAAAGCAGGATGCTTCCCTAGGCACGGCTTTCCATCTGGGCCGGGAACCGGGCAGAGATGCTCGAATTTACAGTTTTCAAACTTGCATCCGTCTGGAGAACTGTAACCACGGCACAACTGTTTGCGCTGACCCTTGGAGTCCGTGTAAGAAAGCATCCAGCGTTGACTGTTGGTGCCATTGCCCTTGTTGCCCTTGCCGTTCTTACCGCCCGGGGAGTCTTTCCCCTTGCCGTTGCCTTTGAAAGGCTGCCTGTTGATCTTCAAGATTTGGCTGCGAGGCTGCAACATGGCCGCCAAGTCACCGCGAACTTGCACTACCTCCGTCAGTGCATCATTCAGGCTCCACTTGTGGACATTGACTAAATCCGCGATCAAGCCCCAAATGTGCTTGTCTGCCGCCTGAAGCTCCTCAATATTCGGGCTTCGTAGCCCCGAAGATGCCTCATGCCGCTGGCAGGCCAGGCGGATGAACTTGCGCTCGTAAAGCCGCAGGCTCTGAAGGTGAGCCCCCTTAACGAAGGCGAGTGATATGCACAAAAGACCCAAAATGCCCTGCAGGAAGGTCATGCCGACTTGGCCTTGAGGTAGCTCTCTTGAAGGTATCTCGTCGTACACCAGCTCTTCCAACCTTGGGATTTTTGCCGGCCTGCACAGAGCGAAAGACTCCTCTTGGGATTTGCTCATCCGATGCTTCCAAGCCACCCACCGCATCTCACCTGGTTTAACAAGCTTTGCGGCCAAAGCTAAGAGCCGGTGACCTGGGGTGTTGTCCGCATCCAAGACCTCTCCTGGGTACGAAGCCTCGAACTCAAGGCGGAGTTTCACCACCTCCTCACCTGTCAATTTAGCCGGGAAAGAGTCTACCCATGAGGCTGCATTGGATGTCATGCTTGCATGGGCCGCACTCCCCGCAGATGAACCAGTTGCCGTCACAGACTGACACTTCTGAAACAGCAGGCGGAAGGATGACATAAGACGTAGTTTCTCAGTGGACTCTGCAGGCAAGGCGGCCCCCTCCAGCAGTATCTCGATTGAGGCATCGACTTCCGAGTGTGAGGCTGCTAGGCAACCAAACAGCGGCACGTCATAACCATCCAGCACGAAGTGGAACTCCTGCGGTACTCTGCATGCAACGGCAAGCTCCAAAAGCGCCGCATCCACGTTAGCCATGGACGCCTGAAGCGAGGTGCAGACAGACAGGTTGAAATTGCAATCGATGAACGATCGGCAGCAGTAGCCCCTGCCCGCTGCACACACGTGCGATTGGCCACACGGCTGCCAGGTTTCCGAAGGACTTTTATGCCCGCTAGTATCATATCCCATTGGCTGCAATCGCCATGCCCTTGCCTTGAAGGTAAGACAACTAGGGGGGGGGCCGCCCTGAGCATTTCACGACCGTCTTGGATGGCGGACTGGCACACACGTGCGATCAGATCTGCCAGCACTGGCGCCTACACCTGCTGCGCGAACCATGCACAGCCCCTTCCACAGCCTGGGTTTCAGACCCACATATTGCAGCCGACTGAAACCCAGCAGCAAATCGGCAAGCCCATATCGAACCGAAATGCCGCATTGCCGCGGCGAGCACACACGTGCGGATCAACTCCCGGCCAATCTTGACACGAATGGAAAGCAGTTTCCCCGCCTGCTCGTCAAGACCAGCTTGATCCCGCCGCCGAGCTGAGGGCCCGTTAAAGCTGCCACGAAACATGTTCAGTGCCGATCTTGCATGCTGCATTTCTCAAGTGTTAATATCTTGAGCATAAACGGCTGCCGGTTAGAGATCACATAGGAAGCTTGGGCTCTCGGCTTGAACGCCCAACTCCAAACAGGCACAAAAGAGGTGCTCAGCTCTCGCAAGGTTCTGCTGTTTTTCACCGGCGGTGACAAGGGGTACCTTTGTGCAAAGAGGCATTTAGCCTCATAACTGCAACTACGAATGGCGGCACAATCATCGCCTGGCGGAACACACATCGCCTGCCCCAAGAATGCGTTTGCTTGGCGGAACAGTCATCGCCTGCAAAGATATGTATGAATCCGATATCAAGAAGAATCCCCCCTTCCTGGTGTGGGTGGGCGGGCAAGAAAATTTCTGCAACTTACATGCGCAAAGTCAACGGCTTGTCCAAAAGTGGATAGCATGTTGCGTCAATTGAAGCTTGTGCACGATCGGCTTCACAAGACCTTGAGATGGCGAGCGCGGGTACAGAAGATGCGAGATCACGCCACTTGGTGTTCATGTTGAAAGAAAAATTTATCGGCAGCCGTCTTCTTTAAAAATCGAGGCACGATTTTTCAAGAAAGCTCAAGCTCAAGATATTAAGGGACTATCAGCGCACGCACTGACGGCCTCCTTAATATCTTGAGCATAAACGGCTGCCGGTTAGAGATCACATAGGAAGCTTGGGCTCTCGGCTTGAACGCCCAACTCCAAACAGGCACAAAAGAGGTGCTCAGCTCTCGCAAGGTTCTGCTGTTTTTCACCGGCGGTGACAAGGGGTACCTTTGTGCAAAGAGGCATTTAGCCTCATAACTGCAACTACGAATGGCGGCACAATCATCGCCTGGCGGAACACACATCGCCTGCCCCAAGAATGCGTTTGCTTGGCGGAACAGTCATCGCCTGCAAAGATATGTATGAATCCGATATCAAGAAGAATCCCCCACTTATCCGTTTTTTCATTTTCTTAGGTGCACGGGGCTTTGGGTGAAAAGTTTTATTATTTATCCTGGACACGGCAGCATCAGTTCAAACTTCACTCGAGGGCTTATCTGACATGTTTGCGTGGTATGGCATAACGAGGCTCATTCACACTTTACATGGAGGCTTATCTGCAGTGCTGGTCGGGTGTAGCACCCATGCGGACTAAGGAAGAGATGTGGTCGACGATTGTGCAGTTGAGAGAGATGCTGTGCATTGCACACATCATTATAGCATTCTCTGGTGCGCTGTCAATTAACACGTCTTGAGCGGGGCTGCAACATACATGAGTCCCCCGAAGGTTTTCTTCCTGGCCGGTTTTTCCCACGGGTGCGGACACTGTTGTGGCAGCGTCTCGAAGACAGCGATTCTGAGCCTACCGTTCCCAATGGTGTGTCACATGCTCAGACGGGCTTCTGAAGAGAATCCCAGGGATCAACCTTTGTACTAGAAACAGACTTCACCTTATTGTTTCCACTCGTTGGAATAAGAGGCATCATTGAAGATATGCAGTGGCTTAGCCGATGCGTCCTTAGCACACTGATCTGTTGACCCGGAAAGGTCTGCAGAACTAAACGTAGCTTGCGTCGCGATGTTACCGAGGCTCATTTCCGTCGAGCGGCCCTACATTTTAGAACGGAAACTTGTAAACAAGACACCTTTCTGACAAGCTGGTCCTCATTCCTGCGAGGATTTCGCGGTCTCCAACACATGAGAGATCATGCTGGATGAGGTCGGGTCGTGGAAAGCAGAATGCGACAGAGCCACAACCTACAAGATGCGACCCCCTGCGTGGAACAGGTCGTCCATGACGGAGACTCTCGAAACCAACATTCATTCCAGAGTAACACAATTTCAAGACGAGTGCTGCTCGTGTTCTCAACGCCTTACAATCGATGGCCTACGTAGGGCGGGATCGATACTACAATGAACCGCCTTAGATCCGGCTGGCAAAGCTAACACAGTCGTCGGTAAGATAGGCAATACTGATTACTGTGCCCAGTGCCCGATGTGCACCATCTATTGTGCTACCCAAAGGCGCTGCGTCGCTCCAAGTGTGAGCGCCCACAGATATAGCGTCACCTTGAGCTCACTGGTTGAGACGGACAATGCACGCTTCCCTAGGGTGTCCTCTAAGCAAATATTAGTCTGCACCCACTTGGCCCTATGAATTTAAGAATGGAGCTCTTGGCACATTCTGAAGTAATTAGAGACACCCCGGCCGCCTCGTCGGAAGATTGAGGTATGTAGCCTTGGGTCCATCGGCCCAAACTACTATTGGAGCTCGACCTCCTCGTTGACCTTAAGCCCGGAGACCTGGATACTGGTCCATGATTCACTGCCCCAGGGGCAGAGCGGCCGGACTGCTGCTTTGCTTGTTCCAAGGCACTAGGGAAGGGTTCTAGTACGGGGTGCCCGCCTTGCTGCACACCCCACTCCCACCGCCCTACAGGCATTGTATATAGCACTCAACAGATGCAAAAATTTCCGGACGCTTAGCAAGCCACTCGGCCGAATGTTGACTCGTCTGAGGCATCGCTCTGGCACCGCGACACACCTGTAACACCCAGAGAGCCACTCGGGTCAAATACTGGTTCATCCTGCAGGCATTACTCCATCACTCTCATACACGCACTGTCCAACGCAGTAGGCAGCGACGGGTCGGAGAGTTTGTTGGCTTATCAGATTTGAGATGCCTCAATTGATTGCTCAGCTTCTGGGAGGCCTCGATTGGGCCGCTTGTTTGTCAAGCAGGCATCGCTTCAGCGTGGCGAGCGTTGCCTGTCATTCAAATTTATGTACCATCTTAAAGCGGGAGGCGGCGATGGACAGGGCGCTTGCTTGTCCAGCAGGCATTGCTTGAGTATGGCATGCATTGCCATACCGTTCGAATTTGCGTACCTACGGGCGGGGTGTTTGTTACCCTGCCAAGCCTTGGGACGTCTCACTCGGGCTGCTTAGTCACGAGCTCTTTGGAGGCTTGCCAAGTTTGGGGATGCCTCGTTTGGGCGGCTTGAGAAGGGACTCTTCAGGGGCCTTTGTTTGGACGCTTAACTTGGGGCTGCTTAGGTGTGAGCTTATTGGGAGCCAGGCTAAGCTCTTGGGGGCCTTTGGGGTACTTCACTTGGGCTGCTCAGGGTATGAGCGCTTGGGAATAAAACAAGCCTTGAGGTGCTTCGTTTTGACAACTTAAGCATGAACGGAGTCAGGCTAAACAATTGAGATACTTCGTTTTGGCCACTTAAGCAAAAACTCATTAGGGACCAGGCAAAGGGGCAAGGATAGGCCCCAAACCGATCAGAACTTCCACTTCCCTTTTGGCACTCGGGAATCCGGCAAAGCTCTTGGGACGCCTTGTTTTAGCCTTGGGGAATCGGGCTAAGCTTTTGGGATGCTTCGTTTTGCCACTCGAGCATTAACCCTTTAGGACCGGGCTAAGGGACAGGGAAAGGCCTGAAGCCAATTCACTTCTTCTTTCCACTTGGGAATCGGGCTAAGCCTTTGGGATACTTCATTTTTGGCCGAGGGAATCAAGCTAAGCTTTTGTGGTGCTTCCTTTTAGTCACTTGAGTATGAACTCTTAGGGACCAGGTTAGGGGACAAGGATAGGCCTCAAGCCAATTTGGACCACTTCCCCTGTTATCCGTTGGGAACTTGGACGCGGGTGAGCTGTGAGAAGCGGCACGCGGTACGCACTGCAAAGGCGGACGGCGTGAGGCGTGCAAAGATGGCTCGGGCGGATACGTGGCAATGGGTCGAGCTGCCAGGGCAAGGCCAACAGGCCTGGGACAAGGAATGCCTGGCGGGAGATTGCACAAGGCCGCAACGGAGGCACAGCAGAGGGTGCAGACGGGCGTAAGAGATTGGTACACAGCGCAATTTGGGAGGTTAGGGCGGCGCAGGGGCCAGACTAAGCTTTATTATTGTCAAGTTATGCTTGACATCAAGGCATGATTCCTGGGAGGCGATTCAGTCAGGTATGCAAGCAGAAGCGGGGGCAAGTATTGGGAGGAACGGAGGGCACCCGAAAGACGGGATTGCGACCAGTGGGCTTAAGCACAGGCGTGTCGCAGCGCACAGCGGCAGTGGACGGTCAACAAAGGCGCAAGCTAGGGCAACCGAAGAGCAGCTGGGGTAGTCTGGCCATGGTGCGAAAAAGGAGTGACTGGTTTGGGCACACAGTGGTGGCTGGTGCGCGACCGCGCTCTGCTGGCAGCAGAGGTCTGAGGCAGAGTGAAGCGCTTGGGAAACCATCGCTGAGGACATATTGAGAAGGAATGTGACAGGCAGACGGCAGGCACATTGACGTGGTAAGGCGGCTTGCACCTGCAGCACAAAGTTGACCACAGAGCGCACGGAGGCAGGGTGATTGCAAGGACTCGCTTGAGGATCCGCAGACGGGGACGCGTGGCAACGTGCAACATGAGATGTGAGTTGCCCAGGACTTGAACCTGAAACCTCTGGAATC